AAAAAAAAAAAAAAAATTCATCCTAAACATGACATCATCACAAAAAATAATATACCCTATCTGTAATGAAGTTGAATTTCCTTGAAGGTTCTTCACAAGCTCGAAAACAAGTAAAAAATAAACATTACGAAGCAAACAAATAAGAAAAATTTCGTAGAAACAATCAAAATCATGACTTACCAAATCTTGGCGCCGAAAGTGGCAAATAAGGCGAAAAAAATTAGAAGTTAGGTTAACGGACATTGACGAGTACCACAAATACAACTGGCTATAAGTACTCAACTGAATACAAAAAAGTTTTCGACAGACAACAAGAGTGCAATGAGCGGAAAAAGGATGGGGATGAAGAAATATAACAATATATAAGGCGAAACAAAGAAAAACTGTACTACATTGCATTACAGCAAAGAATAGAAAGAGAACTTCACAACGCCACGCAAAAAATCACGGTCGACATTCAATGACCTTCAATAAACGTTCTTCGAACCATCTTTAGTGGATAACCGTAGTATCAAAGATTTCGTTACTGCTACTGCCTGAACGCCAGCGTATGCCTGAAACGGGATCAATAGTAGAATTTATACAATTTAAGTCTAATTTTGAGGAATGTCAAATTTCAATAAATAAAAAGTGATGAAACTAATACTTTGTTACAAATAGTTATGACTAGTGTAAACTCGTAGCTTATTGATTTTACTCTTCAAACGTGCTGCAAGTACATAAAATGAAAAAAAGACAAGCTAAAGCAGCAAGAACATTGTATCTACATTCTCAGTATTCTGAGCAGGACAAAACGCAAAAATGTTGACAACCACAAAAAACTGATTTCAAACAATTACAGTTGCCACACAGTACCTGCCAAGTACGACCAACACGACTCTGACCATGTTGATAATCGGCTATTCCACGAACAAGTGCCCAACTGTCAATACGCGAGCCGCTCACTGCTGCAACGACCGAATCAAAACCAGCATCAACTGCTCGAAGTCCGTATTCAGCAGCAAAACGATCCCGTAGATGAGATGCAGCATCCCTAGCTGTGTCACCTGCCGCCTAAATAAAATACCATTCAAAACCACTATACTGATACAGCAAAATTTGAAACAATAAAAAAGACGAATCGAATAACGGAAAAAATCCGAAGTCAAACTTGGTCATCCAGCGTCTGTTTCTTGTATGCAGCCATAGCCCCAATCGGTCCAACGTGTACCACAGGATAACTTCTTTCCTGGTTTGGATGCGGAACAACAACCATATTGCCTCCTCCTAAGAAGTTTTAAATGTGACATAAGAAGTTCACTGCTTCAGTCACTTGCAAAGACTCTCTAGTAAGTGACTCCACCGGTCAAAAAAACTAACCGACAGAAAGCGTCAAAAGATCAGCTTCTGGTCTAGACAAATTAAAATCCGGCAACGTAGAACTCAGTTTTTCACTCATTTCTTTGGCTGTAACAGACCATTCCGCATTGAACTTGTCATCTCTAAAATAACCTACAATAATTGGCACACGACAATCCATCAAACGATAGACACACCTTCATAAGATTTGAACAATACGAGTGAGAAATTGACTTAAAAAACCCAGCAAACTGATTCACTTACATTCCTTGAACAATTTGGGAAATAACGGTATCCTTAGGATTCCATTTCCTCACAACAAATCCATCAACAGCCTCAGTTTGCCTATTAATTGTGTAAGAGTGGGCAAACACATATGCATCAGGGTCTGAAGAGCTTACTACTACGTCACCTAGACGAACATGCTTTTCAGCGTCTGTATAATGAGCTACGCCGCCTCCAACTCCTACGATAAAAACATGTTCAATATTTTGAAAATTCCCCAACAGTCGAGTTGTGATTGATCCTGCTGACGTAGTCGCCTCACGGCTGTCACCTAAAAGAATAAACAATGAAATTCTTCTCTAGATATGATCATTTGAACGTGCGAGCTACATAAATGACACTTCTATGTTCGAATCAAGCAATAAAAAAACACCTATAACAGCTAATTTCGTAGCAACCACACGATGTGGTCCAATCCACCCAAGCGTATAGATATTGGAATCCCCACCAGAACGGTATCGATGCATCGTGGTGCTCTCATCAATAATAGCATCCACAGCCTGCTTTTCAACGAACAAACATGTTATAATTGCTATAGTTGGTTGATGGTCACGCATGGAGGTTGTAGGTGGCTGGTTCATAACTTCTACAAGCAAACGATGTAAGAAACAGGTTTTTTATCTCTATTGGATGTGGTTAGCCTTTAATGAGCTGCTGTTGTCAGACACTCAGCCATAAAAACACTAACACTTGTTGGCCGAAACGGCTATTACTGAGCAACTGCACTGCGCTTCGACAAGGATCAAACCTCATCAAAGCCAGAAAGACCCTCAGACATTTTCGTCTGCACCGCTTTGAGCTCAAGGAATAGATATGAAATTACTGAACAAAATAAATCAGATGACGGACCATTAACGGGGTCGACACGAATCCACTCATTTTCAACTTTCTTAACCAATCCTTGTTTCTCGAGTTCTTCCAAGAAAGCCTCCACTTCTTCTGCAGTGCAACGTAATGCTCTAAATAAAAAAACGTCATTCATTTACCAAACAAACACTTAGTATTAACAACACTAGAAATTCAAAAAAATTACTCAGCGACAACATCCACTGAGAGCCCATTTGGATATGCATGTTCCAGTACATCTTTTACGTGGCCGATATTGACATCTTCGCATTCAGAATCCGAGTCTAAAAAACTATAAAGTCGTTATACAAAACTGTAGAGAGTATAAAAGTTTGCCAATAAAAAAAATAATCAAAAACTACCGTATTCCTTAGGGTCAGGCATTTGCATAGCTTCTTCCGCTTTAACAAGTTGCATATCAACTTCAACTTCAACTATTGGCCAATAACCAGTTTGAACAAGCTTTAAGATCCGTTTTAAGAAAGAAGCATAATCTAAAAACCTATTATTACACGAAAAACCCCAGTTTTTTTTAAGAAATTTGAAAAAACTTCGAATATCTTAACAAAATTAAAGTCCCAACTAGAGTAAAAAACACATAGATGTCGAAAAAACTGTGCGAATACTCTTTATAAATCTAAACCTCTTGGAAGTGAATTCACCAAATTTTTAAAAAATTGTTGAGTTAAGGAATGCTCCTCCGCAGAATGAGTTCCATTTTCAAACCGGAAACGTAACTGTCGGTTTTCCTGTAACCAAATTAAGAAAGTATGACACAAAAGATAAAGTCATAGGATCAAATAAATTCTCAAAAACAAATAAGTACGTGCAAAATAAAAAACCTGTCTGATTTTGACGCCATCTGTCACCCAAACACAAAAACTCAAAGCCACATCGCACTCCTTCACTGTAAAACACATTTGAGTAAAAGTAAATAGATACGTAGGTGAGAAACCACGTCTTAACTAATGACTTGAAAAATACTACTCTTAAGGCATTAAAACTGCAATAAAAGAAAAAAGGAAGACCTATAAAAAGCCAAAAAACTGCTGAACTTCTAACAGGAAATCCCGAAAAATTTCCCGTTCTTAATGTGCTGCTCTGATAATCTATTTGAAACATTAAATAGCTTAGATTATATGAGTGAAATTTATAAAAAAACACTACTAAGCATTACTCGGCGGTTCGTTAGATAATTTGTTAATGATGATCCCGGCATGTTCACCTCCAGCTATATGAAGAACCCTGTTATCAGCAGGATTTAATTCCTTGGCCCTGAAATACAAAGCAATTTTTTTTGGAAAGTGAAGTACTTGCGCATAAACGCGCAGTATATACAAATCATTTTAAATCAGCCTCTACACTTCTAGAACTTGATCTCAGATATTTACTAAACTTTGCTGGTTAGTAGAATCCGACTCACTACTTAAAAACCAAAATAAGAGTTCTTGGATAAGTAAATTTTTAGCACGGATTTACCCCGCTTGTGTAAAAACCTAACACTTTCTATCGTATGATCAGAGCTTTCGTGAACAAGTTTGCAAGTATGATTATGAAACACACTACCACATGATTTTCAATACATATGAAAATACATGTTATCTAGTTACGGAAATGCATGCACAACACTACAACAGTAGGAATAAGATATAAGAATTTACAATTTGTAAATATTACCAGAAAATATGTTGACAATTTTTCTCTCCAGAACAAGTTTCGTGTTAAATTCTCTGCTTTACAAAAATAAAAAACTTCCAGAGAGTTCTCTATTTGGTACCAGAAACTGATTGTGCTGGACTGGAATCACACAACAAAATCTTATACAGTTTTGTCAGAATCTGTGGCTAAGACAATCTTTTAAAATGAAACTCTGTGTGCAGTGTCAGTAAACTTCCAATCTCCAGTTGAAAACCCCGGCTAAATGGAAGGAAACTCTTCATTTGGTGTCTTTTCAACAGCTACAAAATTTAGTCCAGCAAAAAAAATTCTCCTTGAAATTCTTTTTATTTCGCAAAGCAAAAAAACAACTTTGAATAATTTTTTTTTTTTGGAAGCTCTCCAATGTGTTTTTTTTAAATTTCCTTTTTGAATTTAGATTCCCACAAATTTCAATCTTTTCCGCTAAAACTTGCGCAGAAAGACAAGTTACATATAGACTGATACATGTTTGAACAACTCAAAGACAAAGCTTTACAAATTATTTAGTTTTTTTAACTACTGACAAAATTACAAACATTTAAAGCAGCCCTAATCAAGATAAAAACTAAAAAATTTTATTGCCTTCTAAAAAAACTTTAGATTTCCAAAGTCTGTCTTTGATTTCACATTCTCATAACCAAATTACGCCAATCAGCAAACTTTGAAAAATATCTGTGTCATGTTTAATAGGCTCACAATTCCGCATAAAATAGCTTAAATAATTTTATTAAACATATATTTCAAAGAAATATTGTAATTAGGTTTTAAGACTTACCTACTAACACGAACAACATTATGTTCGGCACTTTGTACCAGTGGTGTGAATATCACTAAACCTTTATCCAATACACTTTGAACTGCTACCATATATGCACTGCAAAACAAGTAATATTCAAATAGATAAAAATAAAACACACATATATGCATAAGTTTTCATAAATAAACACTGATACATATTTGAACACCTACGGCTTACAACAAACGTCTGCACGAAACTTTGATGCAATATGTTGTTGTTCAAAAACACTAACAAATGCTACACGCAACGATTATACAGAGCGCTAACTAAAACGATATTATATGGTCTAAAACCTTGAATAAAATCAAATGTTACATTAAAAAAAAAATGAACATTTAAACTCAAAGGATCAATGTTAAGCGATATCTCAAAAGCAAGAAAAAAAAAAACAAGAAAAATAACAGCATTTAGAACATTACATCTTATTTCAACACTTAGTGAAAACGCAAGATAATAATTGAAATATACAGCATAAATATATAGTGAAAATTGAAAACTAATTCCTGTCAAATAAATCTATGCAGCAAAACGAGACAAATTTTCAACGACTTTTTTTTTTTTCTTTTTTTTTCCCAGCAAAATCTTAATCAAAAAACTATAATGAGAGCGCAAAAAATGAGCAATAAGTAGTTTGCAGTCGTGACAAAGTTATTTATAAAACCCGTCATCAACAACTATTTCCACTAAGGAATTTCTGCTGTTTTTACCTTACTGTGTGTGTGTGTGTGTGTTTGTGTGTGTGTCACGTTAACTGTATTTGACTACTTCAACTTTATATGGTAGGTAACCAAGCAGTATTTGTTAGAAATCATTCAAAAAAAATGTGAAAAAAACAAAAAGACAAAAAACATTTGAAACAAATTT